ATATTAATTACTAAAAATGGCCGAATATTGATCTTTAATAATTTTTTTTCTCAAATACTATGAATTTTACAAAAACAATTATAAGAGATAAAAATTGTTTATTTTCTTCTTATAGAACTCTAAGAATTTTTTCAGAATTTTTTATCAACTTTTCAGTACTGCATTTTCTTATTTTTATTATCATGAGAAAATACGGTATTAAAAATTCTGAAAAAATTCTCAGAACTTTATGAGAAGAAAATAAATAATTTTTGTCTGTTACAGTTTTTTAGTAAAGTTGATAGTGTTTGAGAAAAAAATTATTAAAGACCAATATTCGGTTATTTTTAGTAATTTTTAATATCTTGTTAACTATTGCGAAAATTGCAAAATGATATAAAACTTTTTTGTTTCTCTTGACCCATACTACGCCCCCAACGCGGTTCCGATCTTACTTAATAGACACCCTGTATAATATAGAATATACAATATATATACGTATATCTATATATATTTCAAAGATGTAATGCAGAACGCTTCGCATAAGGTACATTTAGAAAGGCATTAGCGCTAATTGTGTCCTCTTTTACGTCTAATAGATGATAAAGGTCTTCTTATATTAATGATTCCCGCCTCTCGAAATTATAAACAATATCGATACTATCAGATCACACATTTAAAGTACACAAAAATAAAAGATGGTACAATGCCAGCGAAAATGGCGAAGCCCGCTCGGACACCGCGCGCCTGCGTCTACGTCACGGCGTTGTCACGCGTCGTCACGCCGCATGAACGTGCATCAGGACGAACGGACGGGTCGTCCAAAGTTGTGGGACAATATTTTAAGTTTATCAAGGTACAGTCTAACAATAAGTCGGCAACACTTTCCAAAATATACAAACACCCGAGGCGAAACCCGTTTGCCATGAACGATTGATTCTTCAGAACTCACGATGAAGGTAGAACGATGCAAATAATGCTAATAGTGTCTGATAACATCTATGCAACCATGTATATATGTATATATTTATTTAATAGGATCTAAGAAGTGCTCTGCATTTCTAAATATACAAGGTGTTCGATAAGTTTTGATGAAAAGTGAATGCAAGTAGAGTGAACTAAACTAAATAAGAAAATCCATATAAATGTCTCCCTGAATATGTTTTCTATATAAAAATAAAGGATAGGTATTTTTTTTTATAAGGATCCAATCTAGAGAGTACAGCTCTTTTAGAGAGTGATTTGAAGAAAATAGATTTTTTTTTATTTTTTCACATTTATAGGATCTCGTTCTATAGAAATTAGAGAATGAAAAATCTTTAATACCTTAAAATATCTTAAATAAATAAGTTATGGAAAAGTGTGTAATCATTCTTGACACTTCTGAAAAGTGTTCCAGTTTGTACAAAGTTAGAAATTCTGGAAAATTCTGAGGAAAATTTTTACCAAGAATGTATCTTTTATATTTATTAATATAATTTATGTTAATATATAATATATTGAATATCTCTCTCGCACCATTGACGTTACCTAAAAGAAAAATCAATTATTATTTTTAAATAATTACGTAACTATTATGTGAATTGTATTAAACTGTTGATTATTTATATACTATACATGCATGTTATATAGGGTCTTTTTTTATAGTTAAACTAGTATACATTTTTGGAACTTAAAGTGAGATAAATATATTTTTTAATATTTGGCGAAAACAAGAAAGAGAATTCTATTACAGTTTGATGCAGGAATAACGACCTATAAACTATTGAAGCGCAGTTATTGCGCATGATCGCATGATCGAGATTTTTCTGCGATAACAAAATCTTTAGGACTGCTGCACACATTTTCAGTAACTTTAAGACATACCGTAAGAATTAGCCAATCACAGTCAAGAACTAAAAATTTGTAGCTCTGCTAACTCTTATATTCACATAAACTTGTTGCATAGCTGCATAAACGTATGCATAAAGAAAATTATCCAATTGCATTTCGCTTATAAAGACGCACATTAAATGTAATTGGATGATTTTTTTTATGCGTACGTTTATACAGCTATGCAAGTTTGTGTGGATATACCCTTATGATTAGTGGCTTAGTTTCTACTGAGGATTTAAATCGGATCAGAATGTAAGAACCAACCAACTACAGTCGAGTATTCCTCCATTACAGTCGAACGACAGGGGAATGCTCGACTGTAATTGGTTGGTTCTTACATTCTGATCCGGTTTAAATCTTCGGTGGAAACTAGGCCACTGTTGTGAAAAGTGTGTGCAAATGTTCTTATATATGCAACAGAATACGAATATTTCTTTTTTACTATATCATTGGAGAAATAATATCGAATATTAATTAATTGATAATCTTTAGATATAGCTTGATAAAGCTGGCGTTGTATATATTTTATTTATATCACAGCCAAAGTGTTGATAAATCTCAATAAATGTATGTACTTACTGTAGTTAATGTACACATTTACTATAATAAATCTTACGTAAATGTATACATTGACTAATAAATATATATTTAAGTTTACACTGTGACATAAATACATTTAAGGAAAGATTGAAGGAGACTTTCCCAAAAAAATATTGATGAAGTTTGAGTCATTATGTGTTTTTTTTTACCTTTGTTCAAATGATATAAATGAAAAGTAATGACAATAAAATAAAATAAATTAAATTTGAAGAATCTCAATTGTTTAAAACTAATCAAGGTCAATTTAAAGATTTCGATTCGAATTTTGTATTCATGTGTCATTCAATGATAGTAGTGAATATGTTGAATTTAAAAAAATTTTTTGTATTTAATAAGTTAAATTTAAAAAAATTTTTTAGTCTTGAATATAGTGAATTAAAAAAAAATTTTTGTTTAGAACTTTCAATGTATAAGTAAAAAATTAATACATTATAAAAAATTGATTCATGAAACACGTTCACATATGTAATAATTAATATTGTATAGAGAAAATAATTTTTAATAAATATATCAATATAAAAAAAATCATTTATCTTCTTTATAAACTTTTATGAAAATGAAATAATTATTTAATAAAATAATTAACGTAAATGTTGATATTCTAATAAAAAGATATACAGAGAACAAAATAAATTAATTGATCATTCTACGAGAAAGGTGACTCCGAATCTTTTAAATAAAGCTACTCGCAACAGCGCATGTAAAAAAAAGGACCCTTATATATTTATCTATATTTACATTTGCTTATAATGTACATTTTATAATGCTACGTACATCAGTCAACGGTCTTTTGATTTAAATGATTTATTTTTTTATTTATCTATCGCCTTCTAGAAACGTTCATCGTAATTGTTATACAGTATCTCTCGTGTCTTTGTATTTTGATAGAACTAAATAACGGGGCAGCATAAATGTTCTCAAAGAGGCAGGTCACTCCGGTCAATCGGTGTAAAATCCAAGCGAGTGTTATATTATTCCAACAATCGCTAGTCGTGAATGCTATCGTGCTCAACAACACATATGGACGATACGTCATTCACGTAAACGATGATCGATGATAACGGCGATGATCGGCGAGATGCCGTCGTTCACATCGCCGTGACGTTGGTAGCGGCAGTAAACGCTAAGTAATAATATCACAGTGTGGGTTTCTCGTCCGCGGGCTCCTCTTTTATAGGATGGCTGCATTCCATTAGTGCAGGATTCGCCACAGCGATTATGTTGTCTCCACGCGAGGCTATCACCTACACATAATTTATGTGTGAGCCATTAACAGCCGTACAGTAAAATTCCGTGGCGACGTCTATCGCCGTTTTTTTTCTGCTATTCTAAAGAAGCATGCATTATTCAGGAACTGCAAAAAAGGAAAGGACAGCGTAACAGATTAAAAAAAAACTTATGCGTATTTAGCAGTTTTTGCAAACAGTTCTTCTGACGTTTAAGCAAGGATGACGAAAGATGAAAGATGAAGATACAACGAAGACCTTGGATCTGTTCGTCGCTCACCTTTAGATTGAAGTCGCTTTCTTTGTCGGTATTCTCAGTCTCCGCCTCGTTTGTGTCCTGAAAATGCATTATATCATTATTCAATTCTGTGCCTTCAGTTCTGTGCCAGAATTTAAACGCACATATTTATCCCAGGTAGCATCTATTGGTTCATATATGTTTTATATACGTTTCCTAAACGTATCTAATATTTTACAAACGTTTAAGGAACGTATATAAAACTAACGTGTGCTACTGAGGATATATAGTAGATCGTTTTCCTAATATTACACGTACGTGCATAGACGAAGATTCCTCGTTAGAAAAGGAAAATTGGCTATCCGAGTCACTAATTTCTTCCACGCTAGCGCTGAATATACCATTATTATTCTTCTTCCTCCAGACTGGACTGAAACATTGCGAATATCTGAACATCAATATGCTATTATTTACGTAATTATAAATAGAACAATGCGAATATATCTAAATTGAGATTATAAGAAAAG